AGAACGCCACTGACATCGGTTGGCAGCCATATCTTGTAGTGTCTCCAACCAGGCACAGTGAGGATCACGTGGTCCCCATCCTGGAAGGCGAGTAGCACCGACAGCACCCAAGCGTTTCGTGATCTCTTTCATACTCCTCTGCCAAGTCAAGGGTTGGCCACCTCTCTGTTTACGCCACTCTGAATTGGGCATTGAAAGCAGCACTCTCTTCTACAAGCGATGGTTGGGCATACGTAACACGTGTCCCAACCAACGCAGCTTCTGGTGCCGGACACATTCTTCAATGGAAGTAGCCGTTGCACAACCGAAAACGCGCTTTCTCACTGCCGCATTACGGGTTCGCTGACACCAACCCACACGAGCTATGGTTCTGGAACAACGATTGTCGAACACCTGAAGACGTCTCAGTTCCGCTGCTAGAATAGGCCAATTCTCACAGCCATACAACAAAACAGGCCGTACTGTAGCTTGATACACACGTCCTTGATATTCAAAGATAAACCGCTCTGAGGTCATAATTGTCTAAAATTAGCAAACGCCTCCCGAGCCTTGCAGATTCGTTCATTCGCCTCATCTGTCACACTACAGTCAGAACTAATACAACTTCCAAGATATGTAAAACGCTCCACAACTTCCAGTGCCTTTCCCTGGATTGTAAGTGGCGTGTTCAGTGACTGCACGTCCACGAGCATGACCTTACACTTTGTGGGTGCAAAGTGCATACCAAAGGACGAGATGACTTTAGCCAGTTCATCCAAAAATACCTGCGCCTTCTCCTCCCCTTCGAATATGAGAACGATGTCGTCTGCATATTCCAGATCGACAAGGGAAAGTCATCGGACACAAACAAGCTCTTTCTTAAAACTTTTCTAACCAAAGTCTTCAACGAGACTTCCAGTAAAAGGACATTTATACGAACTGCTCAGTCACAAGATTGGAAGTGACTGCTAGCGCCATGTGAAGTCACTGTGATAATTGACTTTACCATTCACTCCCTTCAAGGAGTACTTGGATTTCTGATAAAGTACAAAGCGTGTACTAGAAACCAGGCGAACCACTTAGGGTTTCGATGCCAAAACAGGTTGACGATTAAGGATGACTGCTGTCGGTGCGATTCTGTTCCGTGATCTCCTATCGAACATGGTTTTCCCAAAAAAGCGATGACTTCAGTGGAAATCCCGGATACCAAAACCCAGAAAGATCCATTGGTTAAGCTAGAAGATGCTCTCGGGTGTAATCCACAGAAAATGCAAGAGCCCAAGACGACCGCCTTTCGAAAGTTTTCACTTCTTGTTAGCCATAGCCCCATTTTCACTGAGTTGGAAACCACTGGTACCTCAGTGTCGATCGAGATGAAACCAGGTTTAACCCGTCCGGTCTTTGACACTTTTCGAATGGTATATCCATACAGAAAGCTACCTTAATCCGTTATTTCAAAACGAGAGATTAAATCACAACGCTTTGTACAGCCAACGTTTCGTTACCGCGCTTTTGGGTGTGTTGTATTGTAGTGGTGGTGGCCGAGCTATTGGTTACGTCTGCACTGAGCCTGCCAGACTACGCGATAGGGAGAAGACAGAGAACTGGGGACATGGCTGTATTGCCAGGACAAAACGTACAGAGCGTCTGCGTAAATATATATAGGATGACTAATTGGCCAAATATGCTCGTTCACTTGTTCGTTCCGTACAGCCAATGGTGGTGTTCCGGTCGTGAACATTCTCAGGCCCACTACGCTAGTCGAGTGTTGCTAAGCCGTTTGGTGAGAGCCGTGTTTCGTGGGCGCCGCCAACTCACCTACTTTCCGGACGTGTCAAATCGATCGTGACCTTGGGGATGCGTCACTCTCTGTACATGTACTTTTTCTTCTGTCTGGGCGCGCCCTGACAGGGTGCTAGTCTGTCTGCAGTTTCAGTAAGAAAGATCAGAGCGAGGGCCGGCACACCTCAGATTGATTGCAGTGGTCGCAAGCCCCATTCTTTGCGTAGCAAATCCTAACCCTGGACACTTGTCAGAAAGCGGTCGCACGTGTTCTGTTTCAGTTGACTAGGTTTACAAGAGGCTGTGCTGATCAGTCAATACCAGATGAGCCCTTACTACAAAGAACTTTGACGAAATCCATAAGCGTGGGGTTGGGGTTCGAACTAGCAGTGGTTGGTCAAACACATGATCACCTAATTAGTATTTTCACTGAAGAGAACAAACAAATTAGGTTCTATTAGACTGAGGCTGAAGCCTCCAAATTGTAATGCTGCAGGATTGCAGTCCGTGATTATTGAGGAAAAATTTGAAAGCTCAGGTAGTGTAGATGATCGTTCGTTTGTTTCTTGAGCTGAGCACTGTGATTGCGAACGCCGCGCCACTAATCGAGGTAACATCATTAGTGCGTTGGTGTCAGTCGTGAAGGTATATAGTCTTGCCAACTTTAGGAAGTATCAGGAAGGTCAGATTCCTGAAAGTAACCTCAGGAACCTCGGAGCCTATTGCTCCACCAAAATCTCAACAGGAAAGCCAGCAAACATCCAGGCCAGTCAATGATTCAATCAATTCAGCAAAAGCGGATGAGTGTTCATGCACGCTACAGAAGCACAACCGAACGTGGTCTGCTTTCAGGCATTTCATAGAGGCACGATCGATGTTGATGGGTGTTCACCAAACGCCTCTCAGACAGCCTGGATCAATGTCAGAATGTCCCCTTTAAATAGCATGGGGCTGTTGTAACTTTTGCTCGCGCACTCGCAAGCACTCACTAGCTTGTTTGGAGCTGTTGTGTTCCCTTCTGCGAGCCTCTTTTCCGGCACTAGGCACTGGATTGGGTCAACACCAGATTCCACAGATTGGTGAATCAGCAGATATAACCCGAAATCTAACAATAACAGGTCTGTCTGCAAACTGGCCACTCGGATGAAGCTAGAGATGGATATATTTCCTCAGCGTTTTTCGTCAACTAGCTTGTTATGGGTTACGAAATTAGCCATAGCTGAATTGGACTTTACGAAGCCATAGCCCTAATGAAATGCCAGACAGATTTCTCACCCTGGCTTCTATCACGAAGACTTTGAGATTTTGATTCAGCATCCACAGCAGACACACGATGTTCCGTTTCACTGGCTACACCGACAGTGAGAAGAAGAAGGCTTTCGCCGCAGAGTTATTTACTAGAGAACGGAACAGTTACAGACAATTGGACAGGGAAACAAAACCCTCATATGCATCTATTTTTACAAAAACTGAATATACACCTCCTTGAACGTTTCTTCCTGAACTTTCCTAGATATTCATTGACTGTTACTAAAATGCAAGCAAATGCTACAAAGCGAGTCCACAAATTTCGTAATAGATCTCATTAATCAGGAGAGGCCAAGCTGAATTACGAGAAAACACTACTCGCATGCCTCATCAGTAGTATCCACCATTACAGTGGTAGCGAACATGTTTCGCTCACTAACTCGGGAATGTCGATTTCCATGATACTGGTTATGAATCGAGGCTGCGAAGACTTTTGGTCGCATGAAGTGTTACAGATTACACGGAAGATCGTGGCGGAAGATACATATGTATTTGTAATGCACTACTCATAAGTTTGCCGAAAACTCTTCGACAGCCCACAACAGGTTTCGCCTATCTTAGGGCTCAGTTCCCGTCAACCTTGTGTTCTACTTGGAACCAAGTTGCACGAAATTAGCGAAATACACTCATTTTCAAGCGAGTTTGGTTTTGCAAGAGACTCATCCGGAACCCAGCTGAGTCTCTCGTAAGGGAAGCTTGCTAATGTAAGCTGACGCTGGGACTGAAACTTCAAGAACAACAACTTTCTTGCAGAGTACTACTCATAGGGTTGCTAAGATCTCTTCGACCACTTTTCAGGGTCCATCTGAGTAGTTATATCTTGAATATCGTAACAATTGAAGCATGATGTAGTCTTTATGTGATACTTTCTTTGAAGAATATCACAAACGAGAGTTTCAGCTGGGGCGATTCAACTAGTCTCCTGTTAAAACCAAATAGGTGTGCATACGAGTGTAAATTGCGGGCAACAACATTCCCTCTGGGTGTTGGATTAGCCCTGGCGCTTTCATGCTGCGATTGTTTCGCCCGCCTCCTCCGCGTGAATCAAATGTGCATCCGCACTTTTATCCATTTGACGAAGACAACCACAACGCCGAATGTTCGCAGTGCATGCCTGTGCCGAGACTCAAACACGGAAACGGTGTCTAGGATCCAGAATAGCAGGGGATGGGATGGACCGTGATTTTCTGCTATCTGACAAGTACCGGTGAAAGGAAGAAGGCCTTCGCCGCGGAGTTATTTACCAGAAAATGCTAACTGACAAGTTACAAACTATTGGACAGGGAAGCAAAACTCTCCGTCTTCTCCTGAACGCATCTTCTTAAACTTTTCTGGATATTCATCGACTCAAATCATTCATTGCTCAAATCCAAGCAAATCTACAAAGCGACTCAACAAATTCCGCAACAGATCTCTCTTTTCAAGAGACGCAAAGTGAATTTACAAGAACAACACCTACTACTCGCATGCCTTCCCCATCTGTAGTATCATCGTTACACCGGTGGACGACCCCAACGCCTCAATGAATGCCGGCGTAACAACAGTGCACAGTGTATGGTCCGGGTATCTGATGCACAAGAATGAAGAAATTTATCAGTACTAAAGAGCATTAGGCTGCCAGTCATGATTTAGGCGGATGATATTGCTTCCTATCGATCTGTATCAAAATGTGTTGTTCCGTTCATTGATGAATTCAAGGTCGCTATCGAAATACCGCCCGACGATTAAAATGGGATTTAAAACTCCCGTAAATTAACAACCCTGTTTTCTACTATCATGTGTGATCACTCACCCTTCTCCCAGCCTGAAAGAAACGCTTGTTATGGAAGCCAATTTTTGTTACAGGCCTTTTCAATGAAACCTTGGAGATGGTTTCATGGTTGCATAAAGATCCTTTCCGGCGTTCATCATACGCTTATATGGATTTTGTAAACGTAAAAATTTCTGCCACATTCTCAGTGGCAGCTGGACGTAAATAAGTACAAGGCGGTGAAATGGAGTTAAGCCAAGAAGATAAGAAAGTGATCGTGTTTAGGTTATAACGTTTTAGAGAAAACGGAAGAATTTGAGCCACTGGAATGTCCTTACAAAAAGAAAATGGGATGCTAAAATACTATCTGTTATTAGTAGAAACACAATGGGGATAAACAGATCAAATGTGTGGTCAAAACACCGACGGTATCACATCCGAATGGCCCCGGAAAGCACGTCCTGGTAGATACTTTCTGTGAGTGGTACGTAGCATTTGGACTGCTTGTCCAGAATGTAAAGATGATCCTTGGTGTTGGTCGGATCAAAGCCGGATTTCATCAACCCGCGCTTGAGCAGTTTGAATGTGTCTGCAATGTAATCGAAGATAAGGTCGTTTTTCAGTGAAGAATACCTCTCGCTTGCAGTAACTTGACATTGCGTGTTGTTTCATTTCAAACCAGAGTCTAAAAAAGCGGTTCCGAAATTCCAGTTCTGTCGCTGAGCCTGCACAGATGTTTCGTCCTGCAATCAATAAGCCTGTGTTTGTGTTCCACATTTCGGTGAAATTTATTTACTTATTTCTCATCACTTGAGGGACTACTCCTATGATAATTTATCGATCGAGGATCACGTGACGTGATCTGGGTAGATGAAACAGCAGCGGCGCTATATGCTTTCCACGCCAGAATGATGGTAATGGGACGTGCTTTCGGAAGACTCCGAAACCATCCATCAGTACAGATCTGTGCGATGCGCACTGCCAGATAGTCACAACGAGAATGAAACAAGAAAAGTCAGGGATATAGGTCAAGTTTATATCCATCCGCTCACGTACCAGAATTGAAAGTGGGGTTACCTCTAAACTTCTTGCTTGAGCAGGAAAAAAGTGTTGCAAATGGACTGACAAACAAAAGCACTTTTTGACAGGAGAGATCCATCCCGTACGTAGGGATGTCCGAGCTTATCAGACCAACTGAGCGTTCTTCAACTGACTCAGAATGTGATCTAACAGTTGTAGATAAAATTCTAATTAAAAGCAATGAGAAAATAGACTCACTTGTCATCTCAAAATCTGCACAAAAGCGTAAAAACTGGGGTCTGGCGTACGGGGGTAAGGCTTTTTCAGTGGACGAGTAAATCTTCGCTACCATCAACTGTTCTTGTTCGGTAGTCATCGATTTGATGTCAACTTCAAATGCAGCCATACCGGCTCTGCCTTCTGTGCCGGGAACCAAGACACCGTAGACATTAATACCAGTATCGGGGAATTCTTTCATTAGAACAGCTTCAACTTCGGACGTGGATACATTCTCACCGTGCCACCGGAAGGTGTCTCCGACACGGTCACTAAAGAACAAGTAGCCTAGCTCATCGTAGTATAGGAGGTCTCCTGAGGGAGAAAGAAACGAAAATCGAAGCCAGGTGGCTAAAATGTGTTAAAGGGGAAGACTTAAAGATGCTGTGTAATGCGAAAGTCTGACGTTAGAACTTTTCAACCGTCAGTTGGACGTCCTACCACTTATTCAAATTCTGTTTGTTGAACGTTGACAAATTTGTTCTAATCTCAACGAATATTTCGTCCTGCTGAAAAGTCCAAAACTGTTGTGGGGCTGTACTTTCTCCGTTCACGTTCATCATCCACAAGGACAACAACGTCAGAGTTGACATTGATGCTTCACTGCCGGACAAACATAACGTTTGTCTAATTATATTTAAATCCCCGAGTGAAAAGAAGCAAAAAAGAGTAGGGGACCTAGTGCTGGCTTATGTCAAGCATTCTGAGGTGCCTACACCTCCAACCGCTCAATCAGACAATCTGGAAAGAAACTGACAGCAAGAACGCCACTGACATCGATCAGCCGCCATTTCTTGCAACGTCTCCAACCAAGCACAGACGGGGTCACGGGGGCTCAATCCTGGAAGGCGTACAACACCAACAACATCCAAACTCTTCATGATCTCTTTCACGCCTTTCTGCCAAGTCATGCGTTATCCACCTCACGTTTGCGCCATCTTGAAGGAGACATGGAGAACAGCACTCGCCTCGGTAGACGGTGTTTCGGCATGCGTAGCACATGACCGAGCCATCGTAGTCGATTATGCTGAATATTTTCCCCAATTGAGGTGCCTGCAGCACGACCAAATACCCGTTTTCTAATCACCTCGTTACTAATACACTGAAGCCATCCAAAACCGGCCACGCTTCTGAGGCATCGGTCGGTGTCGAAAACCTGAAGACGCCTCACATCATCTACCCGAAGAGGCCATGTCTCCCACCCATACAACAACACAGCCCTTACTGTAGCCTGGTACACACGACCCTTAAGATCCAGTGAGATGCCTCTTTGACGCCAAAAGTGACGCAAATTAGCAAACGTGCTTCGAGCCTTTGAGATTCTTGCACTGACTTCATCAGACACACTTCCGTCAGAGCTAATACAACCACCGAGGTATGTAAAGTTTTCCACAATCTCCAGTGGTTCTCCTTGAATCGTAAGGGATATGTTCGCAAATGGCACGTTCTGAAGCAGGACTTTGCACTTTGAAGGTGCGAGGCGCATGCCAAAAGATGGAATGATGGTGATTCAACAGGGCCTGTGATTCGCTTCGATCTTCAAACATGAGTGCGATGTCATCTGTGTGCTCCAGATCGACGAGACTCCCACCGGACGTGACATGAACACCGGGGTTTTGGAGACCATCCAGCGTTCGCTTCATTATTTCGTCAGTCATGAATTTGAACAAGAATGGATGGTCACCAATGGATAGCTCACTAATCTGCGATAGGATTAGTCCTATGACCTTCCGATTATTAGTTGAACTTCACACAATTTGACCGTGCTCGGTTGCTCACTCCGACTGATGGTGCAGCTCCTGTTTCTGTAGTCTCTTGATTCGGGCTATATGCCTCGGTGGTGAATAACTCATACGGAAGTCGGAGACAGTTCATTCACCTAGCTCCTTCATTTACAGAATAATCGTCTCAACTGTCTTTAAAGACGCTCAACTATCCTTCTTCTCAAAGTCGGCCCATTTCAAGGTCATCGCGAATTCCCCCAAAATGAATGCCGTCTCCCCGAAGGGATATTTTGCTCAGGTACAAAATTCTTTTCTTTCGATGTGAGTACTATCACCGTGTCTGAGATCGGTCTAATATTTCGCTCCTATTATGAAATGTTTATCACGTCAGCCACCGCGTTTTATCACGTGTTCGGCAGCATGCATAATTGCATAATTGCCACCAACAACCCACTGACTAAATTGTCTCATACTGTGAGTCTTACTTCAGCCGAAATCGTCCGGTTTTTGTCAGAACTTGGATCTGTGAGCTGAATCAACTTGGTCCTTGGCTTGTGTGGGAACTCCAGATGTACACTGGATGATGAAAAGCCAAAAGGTACAAATACTTCTTCCATCCTTACTAGTCCTCAGCTAAACATATGGTATTACTGAGGACAAGAGAATTCTGTTTGTCAGGAAGGAAGCAAATACACTCATTTGCAAAAAAATGGTTTTGCGAGAGACTCACCCGGAAGCCAGCTGAATCTCTCATTTGTTTCAGCAGCCTTATGAGTAGCGCATTAGGTCTATAGATGTATCGTAATATCTAGAATATCGTAGCAACTGAAACATGAAGCGGCCTAGTGCAGCACACTAAGTTGCCTGGAAACATCATGAACGAGGGATTCAGCTAGGTTCCAGGTGAGTCTCTCGAAAAACCAGATTTTTTGCAAATTTCCTACATTTGGTTTCAAGCAGAACATAAAGTTGACGAAAACTCGGAGACTACGCCTATCTGATGAGCCCCAAGATGAGTGAGACCGGTCATGGGCTGTCGACGAATTTTCAGCAACCCTATGAGTAGTACATTACGTATATACAAATCACGGCAGCTGCGGAAGGATGCTCAGATTCGCGGACCAATGGCTATAAAGGCACGTGATCCCGAGTGAGTTTATATCCTTAGAACTTGTCCGCTCGTTTTCCCACTAAAATTGAGCCATTTCGTTGACAAATTAGCACAACACTTTTCTTCCAGCGCCCATTTTATCCGAATCGACAAACTTCAAATTATCATTGTGCCAAAAAGAACAACTAACTATATTCGCAACTTTGTATAAAATAACTCCAACTAGGATTAACTGTGACCAACCTGAGGCGAACCACTGATCGCCTTTTTTGAATACATCACGAAGGACTTTCTTTTCCGATTCATCGCGATTCAAATAACCGTCGTACGACCGAGACGGATTGTTCTCATTAATTCTGCCAACGATCTGGCCAACTTCGTTGGGTCCACATTCGATACACAGTCCAGTTGCTGGATCTCTGATGGGCTCATCTGCGGTCTCATTCATTTTGATTATGTAGATTGGATAACTGGAACGCATGCACAATGGGATAAAGCCGATAGCGCCAACCTGGAACAAGAGAAGAGCATGAACGGAATGGTGGATCACTTGTCCTACTTTCTCCCACAAGCCGAATTGTGTTAGTTGAATCAAGCGATCGGGTGGTGAGCACTAGGCAACAGGCTGCATTTCAAACCCTTCCGGTAGTCACCTGGAGATTCTCGTTCTGAGGATCGCTTATCGTACCATCAGAAATGACTGTGAATAAAACTATCGATCTCCTCCAGATTCAGCCGTGGAAAAGAAACCATACGGATCTGGGTAAAACGACTCAAGGAGCGCCGTCAGTATCTACCCTATCCTGGGCAAGTGAAATCCCGTTAGCTGGGTACTTTGTGCCGCAATGAGAGATTAGTCAGTCACGTGATTACTTCAACCATTCACAAACATGCGTTTGCAGGGAAGATCCTTCAAGTTCCCGGGCTAAAACTCACTGTCTGATCACAATTGACAATACTGGTATTCGACTCGGTGGCACCGAACAATTCGCCAATCTCCGGGACTTTGAACCGATTTTGAAATTGGATCCAAGTTTCTTTGCGCAACCCGTTCCCATAGGCCAGACGGACTCGGTGCATGGTGTCGGTTGGTTTTGGCGGTTGGGCGAGAAGGAAACGACATAGTTCACCAATATATTGAACAACCTGAACAGGATAGAACGTACAATTAGTTTGTTGTTAGCATGACAAGATGTGGTCGATACGCTATAAGCGAAACTGAGAAGCAATGTACAACAGTTCCTTCCTTTCTGGAAATCTCATGGAACTCCGGTCAGTCTCGAAACCGTGAGTTCCCTACCCGCAGTTTGAAAACTTGATCGTTTGGCTTTGAGCGGCCATTTGAGGAGCCAGACGACACGTGACCACGTGATGTGGATTGCTTGACTGAAGGACATTTGAGTGGCGCAACATCCTCACTAGGTGAGAGTCAATCGCACTGCTGACCAACCACTGGTGGCCGAACGGTTAATTAATCAAACGACTAGAAGAGAGGTCGCAGGTTCAAAACTCCCTGCTGAATTTTCGAAGCCAAAATCGTAGGTGAACGAAATTTTGGCGGCTAATCATTGTATGGAATCACGCGGGTCTTATAATTACTGATGATGGTGACGATAATGAAACTGTGCTGAGACACTCCTGTGTCGCTCTATGGAGTGACACCATGCTGGCGATGATCGATGCCACACGAGGCTATTCGAATCAGGTCTCTATAATGTAAACCAATGCCTACAGTCGGATTAGACTGGTATATTCTACCATGCAGTGCAGAAGATCACGCCTGCGATCGAATCCAAAACAAAAAAAGCCACATTTGGAACGACTAGTCTGGCAGCTTTTCGAATACACCACGTTCACACCCTGTCGGTCAACTGTCGACAACAACTAAATGTTTGCAAATGAGTGTATATTCGCTAATTTCGTGCAATTTGGTTTCAAGTAGAACATAAGGTTGACAGAAACCCGGGGATTGCGTTTACCTGATGAGCCCCAAAAAGGGCGCAACTGGTCGTGGGCTGTCTGCGGATTTTCAGCAACCTTATGAGTAGTACATTATAAATTGCATGTTTCACCATAGGGAGTTGCAACTATTCTGTTCATCATCCCTATCCAAAATCTGGTCCCACAATCCCTTCGACTCCATTTGATCAGAACCGCAGGACGGTTAGGGACCTCTCGTGAGTTTCTCACTCCAATGTTTGTGGAGCAGTACTGTTTTCGGACACTATCGAAAGTGGTAATTTATTTCCATGGGGGGGGGCATGGTCGCTCAAGTGATTAGAGCTCGAATTTGTTGACCTGAAGGTCCGTGGTTCGAATCCGACTTATGTCTTTCGACTTCCCCTGTCTAGGCTTGGTCAACCTGGCAGAAACCTAGCCTTCGCGCTTCCTTTGGGTGGCATGGCAGTTAGGCACCAAAAAGGTGCTACAAATGAACGAATCCACTTCTACATCGGTTCATTCGTTGTTGTCATGCCGATAGCTGAGGGGCTAACTGACTGTAAGGCTCAATAAATATGTTTGGTGGTTGATCAGGTGGCCTTTCCATCTGTTCGTTGAGATTGACAACTAACTCGCCACTTTTTGGTTCCCCTGTCAAAGAGACCTCATCGTTAGCTATGCACTGACGATATCTCCTGGACTGGGGACGAAGATTTTGTAGGCAAATCGTCAACCTGAGTGAACGGATCAACGACCAACGGATTAGCCATTTGCAAACGCACTCAAACTCTCCATGTCCCAACAGAATATACCACAACAGGAATCGCAAGTGTCAGGCAAACGCATGCAGTGTACAAACGAACAGTGAACAGAACGGTGGAGCTCAAGATAAAATGTCTGTGGTGAACTCACCGTACAGTTGTATTTGATACAATCGTCCCAAAACTGTGAGGCAGAGAACTTGGAGCGAATCGCAAGACAAGTTCCGTGGAGCATCAATTGGCCGACCCCGCAAATAAGCCCCAGAGTGTGGTGTAGCGGAACAGAGATGTAGATAATGTCCGATGCTCGTATCCCAAATCCGTATCGGGTACCCGAGGTCATGTAGATGAAACGTGGAGTCGTGATGATTGCCGCCTGGTAAAGTGGGGGGAGGGGGGGTGGGGTGAGATACGGAGGNATTTACCAACGTATCGAAGATGTATATGTTAAATAGTAATCACAATAACCTTGATAACAGCAAGTTATTGATTGTTTTCATGGGGCGACATGGCTCAATGTTTAGAGCGTAAATTTACTGACCGGAAGGTCAATCGGGTGGCATGGCAGCTAGGCGCCGAGAGGGTGCCACAGCTGACCGATTTTTTTAACCGCTTTTGACCCTTCATAAAGACAATGTGGACCATGAACGGAAAGCCTGACGCTCGGTCGGAACACCAGTGGTGACTCAGTGGTGGCGTTTCCGGCGGGTGCACATCATCCGAAATCAGGTTAAACCAGTTTGATTTGAATAACCCACGCTGCCACCCGGATTGGACTGTTTCGTCGAAGAATTCGATGGTCCCTTCTTTGGTTTGGGCAACTCGAAATTATCCTGCTTACGAACTGGCACCAGACTAAAGGGCGTAAGCTCGCTCGCTTTGGATTCAGCGAGAACAGCGAGACCACCCTTCAGATTCCCCAGCAGCTCAGCTCATCATGGGACAGTACAGACGATCAATATAACCACTACGTCAGCGGGGTCGCCATTCACCATATTTTCACGCAAACCCTTTCTGGTCCACACTTCAACCTTCGCAGTGTGGCGCAGAACAGGAAGCCTTATTCAGCGCCTAGTTGCTCACCGAACAGGCCTGCGTGATTCCACTGTTGTATGTATTGGGAACGCGCAAGCACTGGGCTCGACAAAGACGTGCCATCTACTTTGATCTGTGAATTCAGTTGGCGAAAGCCAATCCTAAGTTGCGCTAGTTGATTAGATAAAATGCTTTCAGCGGCGGTCAGGTAATCAGACGATTTAAGGGCGAGCAGCAATATAAGCACTAAACGAAGCCTATGCATCATTTCGGTATATACACCGGATGACTGCAAATCACTTTCAATCAGCGATGAATTAGGCGCCCAGTTCCATGCATCAAGAGCTTACTAAAGTTCCAAATGATCGTTTTCACCATCTAGGCTCCTGTTAAAGAAGCTTCAGAGATCCAGGTTGTTGGTGAGTGATTATTAGAACGAATTTCGAGCTTAAGCATGGCTTAAGAACCATCATCGTCATCATCATCACGTCATCATTGTCATCATCATCATCATTATCATCATCATCATCATATCGACTGTTGACACCTAGACACCTGACATAGACTGATCAAAATGCAGTCACTGGCCGATAGGACTGTCCAAAGTAAGGCATGCGTTCCTACTGAAACAATTGCACGGACTCAGTTCAGGTCGTGAATTTGGTAAAAACAAACATGCGATTCCGTGAACACCAAGATGGTCGAGCTGACGCATCAAGCTTAGTGCGACCAGCTGATCCAGATACATACCAACAAGGTTAACCTCTTCTGAGTGCATTCGCTAAATCGGATTATCTCTCAGGCTCGCGTGTGTGAGTTGAAAGCTTGTTAGAATATCAAGCGAAGCCAGACGCTCAGGGCATCCTCTTTTCTCTAGCAGCACCTGAGCTCCAGTGGCGAAGGCGCAAACTTACGGAACAGAAGGTCCGTGATTCAAACACAAATCCGGTATTCCGATCGTTCTTCTCTAGAATTCGGCAACCTGGCAATACATTTCATCGGATGGCATGGCAAAATGTGTACCAAACGATTTATTTATCATTTATTCACGAACTCCTTCACTGCGCAATTTTTTCACAAGAACAGGTACACCTACCTGTTGAGTGCCATATTCGTCTCTGACGGTGCCAGGTGGCATGGCAGAGTAAAACCATTGGGAGTTAATCCATCGACAATCGTCTCAAGATGGTGTTTTTTGGAAAAGCTCTGTCCGAAAAGACCCTTCAATTAATTGTAATAGATCTTGTTGAATGGTTCTCGGTCTGTCTTGAACCCTGACCAAACCACCCGGCCACACGAAGCATGAGCGTCAGAAGCGGAACTTTGCTCAGTTATATAACTACCGATTGTCTACATGGTTTGGATGTGAGTTTAGGTTCAGCTGATTTTGTCAGCATTCTCGTGTATCGCTGATGGCGATGTTGCCACACCCGACATCTTCAACTTGATCTGTCCGGTACAGCAGCAAAGTACAGTATGTTTCCATCGATGACGCAGAGTAGTGAATGCCTTTTTAGTCTTGTGGCCACCAGCTTAAAATCACTCACTCTGTTGGCTGTTATGGGGTGCACTAAAAATGTGGAACGATCCACCAGCGCAGTTGATTTATTTTCCGGACTTCAGTTATGTTAGACAGTTTCTATATTCGAGAACCTGAACGGTCATTCGATGATCAAGTGCAATTCAGGTGCCATCTTATAGGAAAAGACAACGTGCTTTTGTTCAGAGGGGTTTGTTGTTGGGGGGTCATCCTACCATCCAAGGCCGTGTAGCATATTGGAGCTGCTAACAAATGAAGTGCTACCGACCGAAAATGCATTAACAACGATTTTGTCAAATAAAATCCGGGGGAAAAAGCAACTCACCTTCGGAAATCCGGTAGTCCCGCTGGTATACAGGTAAGCTATACGCTCTCTACCATTCATTCGGGATAGTTTCGGTGGTGGCGCCCACGAAGATTTTGCTATGACCTGATTCCAAGTCCCCGTAGACGATGCCTCGTTACTGAAAGCGGACTCCGGTCGACTAGAATCCTCGTCTACGTACCAGAACATGCCATTTGAATATTTAGCCTCGCCATCGATTTCCACAAATGCGTCTTTCAAGCGATTGCCAACCACAATCGCTTTGGCATCCAGCTCATCTAGACACCGAGTGAGTGAAGCGTTTCGTAAATTGTAGTTTAACAGGCCGGGAATAATGCCTGCCTGAAAGTTTCCGAAAATGGAGGTTCATTTTATAGGGTAGTATTAAGTAAGTTTTTAATAGAGAAGTGGCATTTATCATCAAACAATTAAGCCACTCGTGGGTATAACAACATAGTCTGAGGATACTCTACAGGCTTGGTTGCAAGGTGAAGGCCTCAGATATTTGAGATATCGAACAAGACGTGTAAAGAACAATTCCCACTGTTCTGTCTTAGTGCATCAATGGTTTGAACCTCACGGGCGCCAAGCTCTGAGCTATTCCTCTGATCGAACACATTATCGTGGAGAGAGTACCTGAGGGGATCCCTCTCCCAAAGGATCCACCTGAGATAATCTGCTAAGATTGATCTCATTTTTCCGTCACTTCGAATAGAGGCCGCCCAACTCCCGGCAAAGGGCCAACGGCCCGATGCACTGTACCACTAATTGGAAATTTCGGCATGCAAGTTTAGTCTCGCCATCATTTAATAGTCCACAGGACATCCAAGAGACCATATGCCGACATACACTGAAAACTCCAATTTAAAGTCCGTTATCAATTCTTTTAGGCAACTTTATCGTACTAGTCATGCAAGCGTGGAAAAATCAAGATTTCGACAATACAAAGCTACTTTCATCTACATTCGCAATGCACTACTCATGAGGTTGCTGAAAATTCGTCGACAGTCCCTGACCGGTTTTGCCCTTGTTGGGTCTCATCAGGTAGGAGCAGTCCCCGAGTTTCCGTCAACCTTATGTTCTATTTGAAGCCTGGAAACATCACAAACGAGGGTTCCAGATGAGTCCCTCGCAAAACCAAATTAGTTGCAAATGAGTGTATTTCGCTGATTTTATCTGGTTTCAATAAACAAGTGCAAATTTCGTTGGCATATATGGCCACAACGGAAAACGTTGATCTTCCCACGTTTCGGATTACTTCCAGACAATGTTCTCGATGTAATGATACGTACGTGAACAAAAGCTAGCAGCTCAACGGAGGATGAGACAGTCAATGGACAGGTTTTAGGAAACGGGGAAACTCCTAGGATGCACTCTCAGGATACACTTATTTGCACGTCATTCTGGCATTCACGGCAAATTCATTTGAATCTCTCGCTCATGATATTCGTCAACTGAATGTACTGCACAAAGGTCGCCTCATGTTTCAATTGATGCGATATTCGAGATATCGAAGTATATTTTCGCAAACAACTACCCACAAGGTTTCTGAAAACTCTTCGACGGCGTGCATACGGCTTTGCCACTCTGGACCTCTCACCATCTTTGGCCGCGATGGGTCCCGACTTCCCTTGCTAAGAGGAGAACAAGCTCCAAACGGAAGTGGACCACATAACTGCCAATTGAATAACCGTTTTCGCTGAGACAGATTTAACTGGTTGTTCCTCACTTGTCCTTGAAGATGAGTCCTAATCTAAGCATCACTTTTTCGTTCGCCTAGAACTTTCCACGTGAGCTTTATAAACAGCCCATTTTCGGCCGCACATGACACGTCTTTACGTGTCAGTGTTCAACAGATCAGCCGATTCGCACGCTGATTGGCTTTGTGGGTTGGTTAGGTGCATCAGACCATCAAGCGGCTATCCAGGCTCTGGTTCACTGTAATAGGATGGCATCAGGCGTACTGTGGTCCACAAAATGTTGGCGACGGGTATGGGATTCCAACCCACGCGGTGAAACCCCAATGGATGAGCAAGTTAGCGGTGACAACATCATTCTTGAAAAGGCACATGGTTCATGGTCTGTCTGGGGATCTCGGTGCTATTCGGTCGTAGTAGATGCCCGGGGCATTCAAAGCTGCTATCACGAGTTGGGCGGTTATCTTCTGACTGTCTTGCGTTGCGTAGCAACTGTTCCGAAGCTGAAGTTTACCAGAAACCGTTCGTGCAAAGCGAAAAAATCGGCGGGAACCCGCACATCCAATGGTGATTCAAACGCTGATGACATGGTCCACGAGCATGCAACGGACTCCCTTGTGGCGAACCGCGTGGTTTTTCACCGCGGCATGCGATATTTACCAGTCCTTCGAAGGTTTTTCTGACCAAACTTGATTTCCTCAGCCTTTGTAGCGCATAGCCCAGCAGTAGCCTTTTAAACTGAGGTTTTCGGTTCTATTTACTGACGATACGACACAACCAGATGATTTTCAAATTGATAGGGGTCATTGAAGCCTAATCTTGTGGTTGTACATTTTGAAAACATTCTAAGGTTTCCAGTGCAACGGAATGATGTGGTCTTTTTAAGCTGTGAGAGGGGCTCTTTTTGTCTGGCAATGAAATGAAATTCGACTTGACATGAACAGGTGGATCTGCCATCTTCAGTCAATGAGACGCACTGTCTGCGCACCAAAACTTAACTCCGTCTGCGTGGCTAGCGTCGTTTAACTAATAATACGTCCGTGAATGTTTCCTCAGACATTGAACTGTCTCGTAGCGAACTTGATTGATTGGTCGTTTATCCCGCAACGCTGACCGAAAGTAAACCCACCATGGTGAGCTGTGTACTCCAACCCAATTACTTGGATGTCCCGGTCGGACGCTATTACTATGTTGAACAGGAGTTGTCGAATACAGCTCTGACGGCCGGGTCAGATGCAAATATTTAAACACATACGATAGCCACCTTCAAGTTAGAGGGTGGCCTCTAAAAGAAACGTCTACCTGTACCGTAGACACTGGGGTTCAGGAAATGAAGACAACGACGTTGAGGCCTGAATCGCTAACTGGTCCACCGTGGCAGCAACAGTAAGAGGCGTCTGTTCCAGGTACCGGAACCGCTGGATTGAGTTTCTGATAGATAATTTCTGTCGAACTGAAAGTCATAGAGACTCCGCAAATAGATACTGTAGCTGGAGGGGTTGGAATATCGTAAAACTTGCAGTTTGTGAAATTTGTTTCTTGTATCGAGGTTCCCAACCTGCGTTTTGGTTAGTCCGATTGCGTCAACTTCCAAAGAGGTTCGGGAGAAAGCATTTGCGGAGTGCACCAGACTCTGAGAAGACTTTATAATTTTATGAAATGGGTGTTAGTGCGCCCAACTGTTTCCCACTAGCTTGTGGTTCCGATGTATCTGTAAAAGTTGAATGCATCATCGTGCTCATTTCCAGCAATGAACCGATAATACGTGATTGTGCTTGCCTGCAATACAATGATGTAAAAATCTTTAGTAAAGAGTGCGAAGAAATGAGAATGTTCGATATCCCCAATAAAAATTATCATGAGTAAGGTGGAAGGAGATTGAATATGCGAAAAACTCCTAGGCCCTCAATTAAAATGCCGACATCTTTGAGTAGTATTTAAGTAAAATCGTTTGAGTACCATGTCGAAGTAAGGCGTCATCATCAGGATTGATTCAGTGTCCTTTGCGAACCTAGCCCGAGCAGAGTCCAGCGCACAACCACAGGCTGAAAAATGGCAGCATACTTGCCACTAAGACTGGTTGCGTTCCATGACTTGTGGGTTTACAACTGCCTGAAAGCAGGAAGTCGCAAAGATTCCGCATCATTCAGTTTGGTAGAGAGAGACTATTTTCAATTCACGTTGATATTTTATGGCCTGTCTCCAGCGCACTTTTTGACAAAGACATCTAGGAACAGAAAACAAGACTGTCTTGGGTAGTTGCACATATCCCAACACCTCAACCAGGTAAATTTAATCTGCTGCTCTGTTACCAAGTTGCCGTTTAGGCGCCGCTTCGTTGCGGACTCGCTTCAGCCACGACGACTTAAGTCCTCGGATGGGGAGAGGGGAACTCTGACAACCATACGTTGGAGCCATTTGCTTTGTATGCATGGTCGTTAAACTCCGGCGAAATTTGGTTCTTACATCATAACGCTACAGGTAATAGGAGTACTCTTCCGTTATCACAGTCACAAAATATTCCAACGTGTCACCTGAAACAATTATTTGGTCTGCTCAGGAGGTAATGGAAAATTGGGAATTGTGAGGAAGTCAAGTGGCGGATGAGCCGATTGGGGTAGTAGAAAAATTTGTCTCCTTGGGCAGCTGTATCAGTCCCAGTACCAGTCTCAAATCATGTGACGATTCCTCTCCCTAACCCTAACCGTAGACGACATGTACACTGCAGTTTCCCATCCACTTTTGTTTACGCGGCTATACCAACTGCGTCACGCCGAACTTTAACCACAGCAGGTCAAGTTGTATTTACGTTCGCACAACGATCAAAAACACGAGGGGACGCTTCTCTCCGCACACAATAAATTGGCCCAAAGGCACAGACTCGCGCGCACAGGTTAGTCAACCGAGGTCAACAAGTGCCCACGGCTAACTACGGAAGCTATTTTTATCAAGTGCACATAACATTCGTAATCATCATTATCATTCTGGTAGAAACAGACATTTGTTAGTGCTTGTCACCCTCTAATGATCAACGTTGCAACCAGATCAATAACAGTCTTCCGAAAGATGATATCTTCGTCCAAATTCGAAAGACAAGGGCAAACTTCGTGAACCTGTCTTACCTATGGCGTAGGTGTGACATTAGCGTATCCGTCAAAGGTGAAATTTACAATACTGCAGTGCACTCCATTTCACCATACGGATAAAAAAACCTGACCGCCGTGGGCCGAGGACGTCAAAAGAGTTTCAGTGTTTGAGCATCGATGCCTTCGGAACATTGCCCGAATCTGGTGGAACACCGGGTTAGCAATGCTGAAGTACGTCGAATGGTATTTGGGAGAAATAATTCACCCTCGATAGATGAACTGATCACACTGCATAGGTTGCATTGGCTTGGCCACGTGCTCCGTATGTCAGCCGACAGACATCCAAGCGAAGTGTGGAAACGAGCCAGAGGCGATAAACGAATGACCTGGCAGTGAAGTATAAAAGCCATTACCAGCAAACTCAGCTGTGCTGGGCATTGCCGTCTTCCTGGATGGGGACCCTGAGACGGTCCACATCAATGATTAGAGACATTGTCAGACATAGCCCAGTCGCTCCCTTAATGACGTTCATGCATCCGAGCTATTGCCTTCAATGCAC